ACCAGCCCCAAAACTTAGCATCATTTAAGAACACAACACAGGGCTAGGGTGTGTCTAAAGCAGTACAGTGCCTGCCTAGCAAGTGTGAAGCCCTGAGTGTAAACCCCAGTACCATCAAAAGAAAAAGAACACAACATGCCATGTATGTTTTCTAAAACATGCCTTATTTTCTCTGCTATAATGGTTACAGGAGCCAAAAATAGATCTCATGACAGTAATACACTACTGGGCATAAAAACTCACTAAGTTCCTTTAAATAATAATAGAATAATTTTAACAATTGTCACTAAGAGTAAAATATCATAAAGATGGTTTCTGCAAGGTGGGTTCTATGAGAAGCAGAATCTGAGATGAGGAATCACATGGAGGAATTTTATTTGGGAGTGGTTTTAGGGTCAAAACCTGTGCAGAACTAGAAGTGGGATTAGACAGAAATAAATCAAGCTGCAGTATAATCACAATAAGGTTTCAGGTGACCCCATAGAGAGTTTGAAAGCTGAGATATCCTTTCAGAGTTGTCTTTGTGTGTGTGTGTGTGTGTGTGTGTGTGTGTGTGTGTGGTATTAGGGGTTTGAACTCAGGGCCTGCACCTTGAGCCATTCCACCAGCTCTTTCTTATATTGGGTATTTTCTTTTTTTTTTGTTTTGTTTTGGTTTTTTTTTTCATTTTTCTTTTATTATTCATATGTGCATACAAGGCTTGGTTCATTTCTCCCCCCTGCCCCCACCCCCTCCCTTACCACCCACTCTGCCCCCTCCCTCTCCCCCCCCAATACCCAGCAGAAACTATTTTGCCCTTATTTCTAATTTTGTTATAGAGAGAGTATAAGCAATAATAGGAAGGAACAAGGGTTTTTGCTGGTTGAGATAAGGATAGCTATACAGGGCATTGACTCACATTGATTTCCTGTGCGTGGGTGTTACCTTCTAGGTTAATTCTTTTTGATCTAACCTTTTCTCTAGTACCTGTTCCCCTTTTCCTATTGGCCTCAGTTGCTTTTAAGGTATCTGCTTTAGTTTCTCTGCGTTAAGGGCAACAAATGCTAGCTAGTTTTTTAGGTGTCTTACCTATCCTCACCCCTCCCTTGTGTGCTCTCGCTTTTATCATGTGCTCAAAGTTCAATCCCCTTGTTGTGTTTGCCCTTGATCTAATGTCCACATATGAGGGAGAACATACGATTTTTGGTCTTTTGGGCCAGGCTAACCTCACTCAGAATGATGTTCTCCAATTCCATCCATTTACCAGCGAATGATAACATTTCGTTCTTCTTCATGGCTGCATAAAATTCCATTGTGTATAGATACCACATTTTCTTAATCCATTCGTCAGTGCTGGGGCATCTTGGCTGTTTCCATAACTTGGCTATTGTGAATAGTGCCGCAATAAACATGGATGTGCAGGTGCCTCTGGAGTAACAGTCTTTTGGGTATATCCCCAAGAGTGGTATTGCTGGATTAAATGGTAGATCGATGTCCAGCTTTTTAAGTAGCCTCCAAATTTTTTTCCAGAGTGGTTGTACTAGTCTACATTCCCACCAACAGTGTAAGAGGGTTCCTTTTTCCCCCCGCATCCTCACCAACACCTGTTGTTGGTGGTGTTGCTGATGATGGCTATTCTAACAGGGGTGAGGTGGAATCTTAGCGTAGTTTTAATTTGCATTTGCTTTATTGCTAGAGATGGTGAGCATTTTTTCATGTGTTTTCTGGCAATTTGAATTTCTTCTTTTGAGAAAGTTCTATTTAGTTCACGTGCCCATTTCTTTATTGGTTCATTAGTTTCGGGAGAATTTAGTTTTATATTGGGTATTTTCAAGATAGGGTCTTATGAACTCTTTATTCTGGCTGGCTTCAAACCACAGTCCTTCTGATCTCTGCCTCCTGAGTAGCTAGGATTGCAGACGTGAGCCGCCAGCGCCCGGCCAGAGGTGTCTTAAGTGGAGCATGAGGTCTGGGCCTTATACCCCAACATAGATGAGTCTTTGGCTGTGGTTGAACAGAGACGGCAACATGACCTTGGCCAAGATGGCTCTCTTTGCCTAAGATCTTCCGTTATGAGCTAACATTCCCAATAGCTCAAAGAATATGCCCTCCAGTTCAGAAGAGGTTATCAAACTGACCCAGTACAGCATCCATGTCGTTCACCCCTGTGCCACTCACATCCTTTCCTTCATAAAGACATTGGAGAGCTCCTTTCCTGGGAAAAACTTCTGAATGGACTATCAGTGGAATAAGGTCAAGCTGCTGCCACCACAACTGGTCGCAAGACTACAGTTGATACTCATCAAGTTCCTCCTCTACTATTAATTCCTAGATTTCCCCCTCACCCTGAACCAACACCTGTGTTGTCTAGATGGCTTTGTTGGAGGACTGACACAAACGAGAATCTGAGCCAATGGTTACCAGGCTCTTCAAGCTTGGCTATTGAATTTATCCATTTATCATTTATACTAAATAAAGAAATGTTAAGAGAAGCCTCAGTAGGTCATCTGAGTATCAAGCACAGCCCTCTCTGTCCCCACTGTGCAGTGGCAACACTACCTCCCCCACCCATGATCATGTCTGTTACACCCATGGAGCTAGTGACTTCCTCTTCTTGACTGCCATCCCTTCACTTATAGTGCCATATTTAAAGTTCAGTAGGACTTCTTTGGTGTCCCTTAGTGGAACTATTGCCCCCAGTGAACCATAACATCTAAACCCGCTAAACAGAGTTGCAGGAATGGGAAGCACAAATTCCTTAAGTAGGTTTATTGCAAAGTGAGTCCTCTCTTACTTTCGCCCCTTATTTTTGCTCTCTTATTTTCCTGGGCCCATGTATTCAGCCTATTAAGGACATAGCACCATACAAAAGATTTAGCACATATATTGCATCCTGGAGGTTGGTGCTCCAATCTCAGTGAATCACAGTCAAGCTAGTATCTCAACTGTGCTTTCCATCACTGTATCATGTTGGTGGAATCTAGATGATGTGGTGTGTGATAGAACCAGTGGACTCCAGGGTCCTGTCTGAGCTTACTGCTACATCTCCTTGCTGTAATGTTATAGTGTAACATTCATGCAAAGTCCTGCTGGTGAATCAAACATTCTGTAAGCCCTTAGATATTCATGCTGCTGGAGATGCCATGGGAAAGAAAGGCAAACCTTTACCCAGAACACATCCTATTCCTGTTAGAAAATAATCCTTTGAACCTCCAGGATGGGAAAGACTTATGTAGTAAACTTGCCCGCAAGTTCTCCTTCAGAGAAGGTGCCATATCTGTGGCTCAGCAGTAAGCTCTGTTGCTAGCATTTTGGACATTTGGCAATATTAATAGCTAGTGGGAGACAGGTATAATGTCACACCTGCCACTTCGCTGGCATTAGGTGGCCTATGAGAGAGGCTGACTGACATCTCCTCAAGTCATTCTTTCCACCTGGTGTTATTGTCTCTTCTGTGGTGGATGCTTTCTGGTATGCGTTAACATTTAATATAAAGATTTGGCACTTCCTAACTTCTCTGTTGGCCCACACACATGTATTACCCCAGACTTCTGTTTTAGGCTTCTAACCAAAATTTATTCACCAGTACCCCTCAAACTGTTCAGATGCCAACTTCAGACTGCTTTTATTTCCATACTGACACTCTGCTTCTTGGGAGGATTCCCTTTTGGGGCTGTTTTTCAAGGCCACTCCTAATGGGCACAGTTGCCATCCAGTTTGGGCTTGCTTCTATTTACCCGTCTATCCATGTGTGAACAAAGCTTGAGCTTATTCCTATTGTCAGATGGTCAGAAGGAGCCCACCAAAGTAGCCATAGATGTGGGCTGAGAGAGACGTGGCAAATCAGTGTAAAGACCAGGGGTGGAGGGGGGTGGAATCTGTCCAGGGGCATGTGGTCCACTGACTCAGTGGACCACTGTGATGTTCTATGCAGCTCATTCAGGTCTCTTCAGTTGATGCTATGATGAACAGTGGAAAAGCTAATGTAGCTCTGGGAAGAGACTATAAATGTATACTGTTGTCTGTGTCAGGAGAATGTAAACTGATTCCTGATTTGGGTTCACGTTATTTTTAAGTTGCTGAAGATCAAACTCAGGTCCTTATGCATACTAGGCAAGCACTCTGAGCTTATGCCCCAGTCCTGGTCTTCCCTTTTTGACAGGCATAGAAAAGAAAGCATTTGCCAGACCAGTGACTGATGACCATGTTCCTGAAGCTTGTGACTCTGTTCTAGCAAATATGACACCACAGTTTCTGCAGTAGAGCTGCCACATGACCGAACTGGGGATAGTCCACTATCATCTTCTGATGTTTTTCAAGGCCCAGACTTGTGAATTAAATGGGAACAAACTGGAGACCAGCATCCCTGGTTCTTTAGACTTTTAAAGATGCTACTAACCTCTGACATTCCCCTAAAAGGAAACACTGAGTTTCGATTTATTAGCAGACAGGGAGAGACATTGCTTAAGAAGTTTCCAGGGGAGACGGAGAGGTGACCCAAATAATGTATACACATGTAAGTAAATGTAAAAAAAAATGATAAGATAAGATTAAAATAATACCAAAAAAAGAAGTTTCCAGCTATTTTTCTCCATTGCAATAGCTCCTATTACATAAGTCAAGAAGCCAAAGCCAGTGGTGGTACACACCTGTAATCAGGAGGCTGAGGCAGGAAGATCACAAATTCAGGGTCAGCCTAGTCTACATACTGAGACTGTATCTCAAAAAAAAAAAAAAAAAACAAGAAGAGGAAGAAGAGGCGGAGAAGAGCAAGAGGAGGGGAAGAGGAAGGGAGGGAGGAAAGCAAGCAAGCAAGCTAGGATTGCACTAATTAACAAGCATTCCATTTAATTACATACTTAGGGACTAGAAAAATGGCCATTATGAGCCAGATCTGCGTTGAGATTCCTTTGAGTTCTTGACCACCATCTGCCCCACTAACAGGGAGCCATAATTTAAAGATGCTTTGTTAAGACTTCTAGAAAAAAATCTAATAAAAAATAATTATTTCCTGGGTTTAGAAAAAGAGATTCCAGACACTCTTTGGTTATACTTCTGCTTTAATAGAGTAACATATGAAAATAGACACATATTCAGGACAAAGGGCAAAGCAGTATGTAGTATGAGACCACAACTGTACTTTAATTGGGGTCTTAAGTTTCTAATTGTATCATCAATTACAGTTATAGCTACACAATGTCCAGTGGTGATAGTGCAGTAAAACCCTTCACACTGTAAACCACATCAAATCCCCACTCTGTAAGTTCCCTCTGTTGGCTTTTCATTCCACAATAAAATGGGGTATGTCTGGAATTCACAGTCAGTTAGGTTCCTGAAGAGTTAAGTGTGAAATATTGCTTATCAACTTGCTTCTCAAACTGAATTTTTCAAAAACAGTATAATTTTTTCTCTAAAATAATTTTACAGACATGGAAGTCTAGTTAATTTCATAATGATGTTGGCAGAATATGATACCAAAAAATGTAAGTATTTTTTCCATAATAGGAGAGATAACAGTATTAAAGCATGATCCTTTAAGAATTAATGAAGGAAAAAAGTGACAGAACTTAAGGTTCTTTTTAGACTGGTTTCAAATTTCTATAAAACTCACTTCCCCAAGACTAATCATTTAACCATGGTTCACGAAATACACAGATTACATTGCCTGGTGTCAAGGTAGGGACACCCTCACTTTTATATAATAAAATCATCTTCTAGTCCATCTTGACCCAACTCCAGGTTATCTGAGGGCAGCTTCTTCCCCTTGGGAAAGTCAGTGTAGAAAGCATCATTTTTATCTACTGGTTGGTATTCCCATTCCATTTCATTTAGGAAGCCACTCCCAGAGCCACTTCCAGACCCAGAGCCGGAGCCAGAGCCGGAGCCGGAGCCAGAATAGTCCTCAGAAAGAGGGAAGACATTATTCATTTTCTGGAGTCTTGTTATTCTGAAATATGAAAGGAAAAAAACAGTAAAGTTTGATTATAAGGACTATAATATTTTAAGATAAGAAAATAAATGCAGTCACTCAGTTGTTCAAACTAAAGAGTTAAAACCTTCTGAATTATTTAATACTTTAAAACAACAATAAAAAATCAAACATTCCTATGTTTCTTGCTATACTTCCCATCCCTAACTCATTACACTTAGCAATTCCACATTTACCCACTGCAGACAAAGATGAGCAGTGCCAATTTTCCTTATCACAAACATAGCTCTCCTATATTTGGGATTTACTAAAGGAGTCATTTTTAAAAGGTGGGGGAAGCATGGCTCAGTGGTAATGTTCTTGCTTGCCTAGCAAGTGTGAGGGCCTGAGTTCAAACTCTAGTAGTGCCCACCAAAACTAATTTATTTTTAAAAATATAAAAGAAGTGGTATCATTTATTCTTTTTTTTAAAGAAAGGACCTATTTTTTTCATTTTCTCCCTAAAGAAAGGACAAATAACTAAGTCAGCCTATGCACATGACATTTTTTCCTAATTTAAAAGTTTCACAGAGCTAATAATTAACAGAAAGCTCACTCTTGAGAAATTCTTTTTCTTTTCTGCAGTACTGGAGTTTGAATTCAGGGCTTCACATCGGCTAGGCAAGTACTCTTCCACTTGAGCCACACCCCCGGCCTTTTGTTTATTAATAGTTTTTTGTTGGTGGTGGTAGGGTTTTTTGGCAGTACTGGGATTTGAACTCAAGACCTTGCTCTTGCTAGACAGATATTCTGCCACTTGAGTCACATGTACAACTTGAGAATAATTTTTTTTTTTGCAGTACTAGAGTTTGAACTCAAGGCCTACACCTTGAGCCACTCTGCCAACCCTTTTACGTGATGGGTTTTCTCAAGATAGGATCTTGTGAACTATTTGCCTGGGTTGGCTTCAAACCATGATCTTGATCTCTGCCTCCCAAGTAGCTAGGATTGCAGGCATGAGCCACCAGTGCCTGACTGAGAAATTCTTTATAGCATGTTAAGGATTATATTTTCTAGCATATTAACATCCAGTTTTCTCCCCAAAACCATATTCCAAATTACCCTGCCTTCAAACTGCATTCATCAGCCGAAGGATGCAGAAGGGCAAGGCTACTGTGGCTGAATGGTGTATGTTGGTTAGAAGTCCAATAAGCACCTAACGACCAGAGCAGTAGAGCCACTCCCTCCGTGGCAGATCAGGGAAACAGAATCAAAGGCAAGAGTTGTGTGTCACAGCCTACAGGTCATTTTCTCCATGAAAATCAGAAACCACAGTTCATGCAGATGATGAGTTGTCAGTCGTGCATGTATTTGTTCAATATATTCGTTAAACATCTGGTCCCTGTTATGAGTGCCTGGGAGAGAACAGGGGCAAGTAGATAAGAAGTTTCTAACTTAGTGGTGAAGACAGACAATAAAAAGTGAATAAATCAATCAGGAAAATAGAAGATGATGACCTGGGTGGTTGAAGATAGAGGAGCAAAAAGCTGATAATACAGACTTGACAGTACTGACTTATGGATGGAGTTTAAAGAGCCATAGAACAGGAGGACCAGAACACAGCCAGGGCCACCCCACATATTAAACTTTAAACAGGACTTTTTGCTTAAAAAGAGAAACTTGAGCAGAGAAGAAAACAGCCAGGAAAACAGAAAGAAACCCAGGATAAAGTGGGGCCACAGAGGAAAAAGCATTTCAAAAGAGGAGATGGTCAACTGCTTTTGAAGGTAATTAAGAGGTCAAGTCAGCTAAAAATAGAGACACAATCAATGAATGTGTAACCAGGAATGATCACCACCTTACTGAGCACTCCACAGTCAAATGCTCCAGATAGAGGACAGGAGCAGAAGTCCATCCCCAAGGGGTTGAAGAAAGGAGGGGGCAGACAGCAAGCACAGGTGACCTTCTCAGAAGTGTTGCTGCGAGGAGGAGCAGAGAATGGGACACTAGCTGGAGAGGATGCAGTGGAAAGGGAGCAAGTATACCTCAGCATAGGTGTGTCCGGAGACGCTGGGCTCAGAGAAGCAAGTGCAGAGTTGAAGTCCTAGAGAAGGCGGTGGGAATAGGATGCCAGTTGGCCTTAGAAGGTGCAAGGACTAAGACTAATCAGAAAGCTTCTCTAAATACTTAACACAGAGGAGAGCGTTCATACGTGTGATTGAGGGGATGAGAAGCCACATAGGGCCTGATAAGGAACCCAGAGATTAGCAACAGCAAGAAAACACTTCCCCACCTGGCTACAGGTAGTGGAAGGAGGTGACATTACCTGAGCCCAGGGACTAGAGACAGTCAGTGGGAGCTGAAGCCATGTATGACAGTCATGCCAGAGGTGCTGCCCAAGGTCTCTCCCTCCCAGGCTCCCCAATATCCCTTAGTGCCTCCCATTGGCCGAACTCAGCCACAAACCTGAGAGCCTGGCATATGGAGATCACAAGGGCCAACACTCTCTTGCCCACACACAGAGCAGGACAGGAAGGACAAGGACTGTATTGGAAGGCAAAAGGGCCCAGGATAAGCACGGAAGCAGGGACCATCTGTCCATAGTGATAGGAAGAAAAGCAATGTCCCAGTGACAGGCAAAGTTACTGGCTTTGGAAGGGAGGACTGCAGAGGCTTTAGGAGAGAGGAAATGGTGTGAAAGAGTTATTTTGTAGAATTTGGGTTATTCCTCTAACATTTTAGACTTGAATGAGTTATTACTGAAACCCATGACTTAGAGTAATATAGGATGTGATATTAGGTTCAAACTTAATACTATGGACTTAAAGTAAGAGCAAAGGATAAGACCACAAGAAGTTGCATTTTGAGGACTGCAATGACGTCATCTCTAACGCAGGCAATGCCTAGGATGAAGGTCACTAGCATCCAAGGATGGTGGGTTTACTTGCTGAGGGGCTTGATGAATTACCTGGCTTTGAGGAAAGTGATTTCCTAAGTTTGAGTCTGAAAATGAAAACTTTTATGATAATCCTTTTCTTAACACATTTTTGCTACATACTGTTTAACTTTGATATTCATTAAAATGAAGAATTCTAATATAATTTAATTTTTGTTACTTACGAATTCCTATGGGGCTGTTTTGCAAGTTTAAGCAGGTTTTATATGATCAAGAAGAGGTTTGATTTTTGTTTTACATGTCCCTAATTTCTTTTTTACTCATCACTATCCAATTACAGAATATTTTTATCACCAGCTCCACTCTCCCCTGCCAAAAAAAAAAAAAAAAACCTATCCAATAGTTCTTATCTTCCTCTCTTACTCTCCCTCTCCCCAGCCCCTGGCAACCATTAATCTAGGACTTGACTTTTCCAAACATTTTATATAAATGGTATCATACAATATGTGGCTTCTTTCACTTTGCTTAGTGTTTTCAAGGTTCATCTATATTGTAACATGTATCAGTGCTTCTTTTTTGTTTTGCTTTGTTTTGTTCGAGATAAAGTTTTGCTGTGTAGCCCAGATTGTCCTCAAACTCATGATCCTCCTGCCACAGCCTCCCAAGTGCTGAGATTACAGGTATGTACCACCACATCCAGCTCTAGTTCATTCTTCTTATGACCAAATATTACTCCACTGTATTGATATACCACATTTTGTTTATTTGTTCACTTGGTCAACTCCTACTGAATTTTAATATATAATATATACTGCATTAATAAAATAATCTTCAATCATCTTCATTATTCATTGGGGAAAAGTACTCAATGCTTGTCTCTACCACCCACAAAAAACCTTGGGAAAACGTAAACGAATTGTGCACACTTGTATGTCTCATTTACCTGCATATTTGGTAGAGTTTTGCCATGAACTGCAGAAAAAAAAAAACTACCAAAGCAGGAGCCTGGGGGGAGAACCCTCTGATGGTCCTCCTACCTGCACACCAAGATGAAGATTCAGCTGAGGTTGGGAAATGACGAGTTTAAAATCAGAAAAAAGTCCACTTACAACAAAGGGTTGGTAGTCCTTGCAGGGAGAATCCTGTTGGGTTCACCTGGAAGGAGGTTGAACAGTGGTCCCTTTTCATCAATGCAGTTTGCAGAATTGCTGTTGGGATTGCAGTGTACCCACTGGTACCTGGCTCTCTGCGTAGGATAACCTGCCGGAACAAGGAGCCCACATGGGTCATAGGTATCTCCTCTGCAGCTGCTTGTCACTCTTCCCTAAGAAGTTAATTACATAGATTCTAGCCTTGGCAGAAGGTAACGTGTGGACAGGTTTGATGGCCTTTGATACAGAAGCAGCAGCCAGTGTGTGCCAGCCTCGTATATGCATTGTTTGTCCTTCTCACAGCATTCCTATAACATGGCAGAGAGTTTAAGATCAGAATAGGCCTTGGAGTCAGCTGTCTGGAGTGAAGTCCCAGCTCTGCTATGACTGGTTATGAAACCATAGCTTCTCTGAACCCCCACTGTAAAATGTAGTGTCATAAACTTGCCATAGAAAATTAAATGAGTGAGGGAGGTATGGTTCAAGTGGTAGAGCTCCTGCCCATCAAGCATAAGACCCTGAGTTCAAGCCCCAGAACTGCCCCCCTGAAAAAATTAAATGAGAAAATACATATAAAAACCTTAACAGTGCCAGGAGTATGGTAAATACTTGATAGTACTACGATTATTTGGGTGTTTTGTTTGTTTGTTTGTCTTTTGGGTGTACTGAGGTTTGACCTCAGGGTCTCAACACTTGCTAGGTAGGTGCTCTATCACTTGAGCCACTCTGACAGCCTTGTTTCATTTTGGGGGACAGGACCTTGCTGTGTAGCCCAGGCTACCTAGAACTCACAATCCTCCTGCCTCAGCCTCCTTGAGTGCTTGGATTACAGGCATGCACCACCACACCCTGTGCTACTATTATTTTTGTATCGTTAGCTCCACTTTACAAAAAGGTGCTAAGTAGAGGAGCCAGGATTCCAATCTGTACCTGATGTCAACGTCTGCCTCTGTTAGTAGAAATGAATTACATTCCAATTGCAAAAGATTGAATATACAAAAGATTGAAGTTCCCAAAGCATTACAGGGCCATATAGCTTTTTTTTTTTTTGTCTTCTTGTGGCAACACTGGGGTTTAAACTCAGGGCCTCACAGCTTGGCAGGCAGACCCTCTACCACTTGAGACATTCTTGCAGCTCTTTGTGTGTGTGTGTGTGTGTGTGTTGGGTGTTTTCAGGATAAGGTCTTGTGAACTATTTTCCTGGGGCTGGCTTTGAACTCCCATCCTCCTGATCTCTGCCTCCTGAGTAGCTAGGATTACAGGAGGGAGCCACCAGCACCCACCCAGCCCGTAGAGTATTCTTAGGAATAAAAAGTAGATCAAACCTCATTCCCTTTCTCTGTGCTCAGATTTCACAGGAACAAGGCTCCTCTATTGGTGGAGGGACAGAGTAGTTTCTTGCTGCTTCTTTGGAAATTCAATTTCTACAGAAAAGTTTCCAAGTCTACTATTCTGCAGTTACATTGGAAAGCCTTTATTAGGTCATGAAATACATTCTTCATGACTCAATTTAGCAAGGACAGAGGCCTGGTGGTGAGAAATACTGCACCCCTCTTCAAATGGCTCATCTCCTCCCCACCTAAGCATGTACTTTATTCAGACAAGTGCTACTAAGAATCACAAGAAGGGGCATGTCTAGAATTCTTGCAAAGCAGGAAAGGTGGCTTGAAAGCCCAGCATGCAGCAATAGGAAGCATTAGGATAGATGACAAGGTGTTCAGAGGATAATAACCAAGCACTTAATAAAATGTAGTTGTTATGGAAAAGATTATGCAGCAGCATAGGAAAACCTAAACTTACAAATGAGTGAAGAAAAACAAAGAATACCACTTTGTACACATGCTAGCTTCAACAACGTAAACACATATTAGGAAAATGGGAGAAAATAAACAAAGATTACTGTGGTGGTAGAAACTTTGGTGATTTTTTTTCTCTTTTTTTTTCTAAAATGCTATAATAAATAATGTTCCTCTAAAATACAAACATTTAAAAGACTCTAATGTGGAAAGTAAGTGTTTTTTTACCTTCAGCTTTCCTTCCTTCCTTTCTTTTGTCTCGACCTCCCTTCTTTCTCTTCCTCCTTCTTTCCTTCCTTCTTTGTTTCCTTCCCTCCCTCCCTCTCTTCTTCCTTCCTTCCTCTCTTCCTTCCTCCATGTGGACTACTATTCTATCTTCTCTATGGCTCCTGACTATAGTTTACAACGTCTGCTCTGAGAATTAGTTGTCCAAAATGGCTTAGCTCTGGAGATAAGGCAGGCAAAATGGCAGCAAGATCTTCCCCTTACTGGCTGTGTGACCTTGTCCAAGTTAACATCTTTGTACCTCAAGTTTTTCTTCTGTCAATGGGAACTACAATAGATCTAGCAACGAGACACAAACGCTAGGTTCTTGCCATGGTCCCAACACCATGGTCAGAGTTCCTCAAATGCTATTCAAGTGCTAGTTTCTCTGATGATGATGAGGAGGAGGGTGACAATGACCTATCTCTAATAGTAGACAGCTTGTAGGGAGACCAGAATTTAAGTTTAAATTCCTGTCTACCACTTAGAACCTTCCTGATTCTCAACCTATCATGTTTCAACTGTGAATACTATGGCAGAATTCCTGTTTGAATTCTGTAAGTGTAAGTGAAGTATCTAACACAAGCTTTTGCACATGGCAGGTATTCAATACATTTTAACTTTGTCTTTTTTTCTTTTCTGAGTCTTCCTGAGGCAGCATTCATTTGGCACATAATCATTGCTTAGGATCTTCTTGTGGGTGAAATAAAAATCCAGCGTCTCGCCCACCAGAGGGCGATGTCTTCACACCTCTGCTGTCCAGACCAGCACTGTCCAATAGAAAAAGTCAACTACATATGGAGTTTGAAATATTTTAGCAGCTATGTTTTAAAAAGTAAAAAGGAATAGGTAACATTACTTTTAGTACATTTTATTTAACTCAACATATTAAAATACTGTCATTTAACATAAAATCAATGTAAAAGTTACAAATGGAGTATTTTACATTTTTTTTTTCAAACTAAGTCTTCCAAATTGTGTATATTTTGCAGTCACAGCACATGTCCATTTGGACTCGCCATATTTCAGATGTTCAGTAGCCACAAGCGACTGCTGCCTCCTGGACTGGACAGAGCGGGTGGAGACAGTCACCTCTACATGGAGCTGATGCATTGGATTTCAGAAAAGGTTCACTTGAATAGGAAGGTAAACAGACAAATTAAACTAATTTTTCCCCTGCAGTGTTGAAGATTGAACTCAGGGTCTCACACATGCTAAGCACGTGATTGTCCTGCCACTCAGCCCATCCCCAGCCCTAAACTAATGCTTTATGACCTAGCGTCTCAGTGAAAGACCTGCCTTTCCACTAATAGAACAACAATGACTTTGGCAAATTAGTTTCTTTTTAATTTTCTAAAATACATAATCCCCCATAGTTTAGAAGTTCAGCTTTTAAAATTCATAAAGAGTTTCTTTTTTAGGGGTGGAAATGATATAAAAGCAAGTATGGTGATGGTTGCACAATTCTGTGAATACTTACAATTCTCTGAACTTTTTATATGGTGTGTGAACTCTATCTTAATAAAGCTGCTTTTAAAAATTATAAAGATCACAGTTCAAGGCCAGCCCGGGCAAATAGTTCATGAGACCCTATCTTGAAGAAAAAAACCCTTCACAAAAAAGGGCTGATGGTATGGTTCAAGGTGTTGGCTCTGAGTTCAAGCCCCAGTACAGAAAAAAACTATAAAAAAATAAAAAGTTTAAAAAGAAAAAAGAAAACAAAAAAAAATAAATAAAAGTTACATCTAGCCAAAATCCATAAACTTTGGAGTCGATGATATCACAGTTACTTTAAATGAAAGAACACAACTACAGGCATTAAATTTCTGATATAGCTATTTATGGATGTGAAAATTCATGGCTCTGGCCCCTGAAGTTCTGTTTTGTTTCTTGAGATAGGGCCTTGTTGTGTAGCCAAGGCAAGCTTTGAACTCCTCGTGAAGGCTAGGGATTACATGTGTGCGCCATTACATTCAGAGTGATAATTATAATTTTTAAAATAAAAGGAAGCCCATTCCTGGACACAAACATCTTAAAAGGCCCTACTTGCAGAGGATCTGCTGGTTTAGCTTGCAGTGGATTGCAGGGGAAAGAATGATTTTTACTTAGAATCCCTGCTTTCCACCCCCACACACACTAACTCACTAGCTCTGCTTTACCAAAATACCTTCTGTGAGTAAACCTTACCAGAGCAAACAACTTTCTCCAGCACCCTCTGTATCTCTTCATACTACGTTTTCTCCTAACTTAATCACAATTTAGTAATTTTTTATTTTTAATGAAACTTCTTGCAGGTGCATTAGAGAAACTTTATCAAAAACTGCCATAAGGGAAAAGAAAAAGACAATTTTACTATTTTAATCCATTCAAAATGGTAGCTTTGAAGGAACAGTCATTATCTCAGCTGGAGTTACTTCCTACTGGTCTATCACTTCAAGATGGATAAGCTTCCTCCACTCTCACTCAGTTTGATGAACTATAAAAAGCTCCAAGTTTACTTTCAATTTCTCCCTCAACTCAGAAGTTAACATTATCAAGCACCATTGTCAAAGGAAGGTGTCTTATTTTAAATAAAGAAAACTTCTAATCCCTGAGTTGAAGTAGAAGGCTAATTCTGACTTGAAATTGGATGACTAATTCTGCCCTTAGTTGTAGTGGGCTGTGGGCAAAACTCACACTGTTTTTTTGTTTGTTTTTTGCAAGAGGTTGATGTCAGATCCAGTCTCTTCCTCTACCAGTTGGTGCTAATTCCTCCTCACAGGTATATGGTGATTATTATCAAGGAATGGACATGAAATCACTCCACAAATAACCACAGACATGGGTGGCATATCGGTAGCATTACTGGGGTCTAGGAGTTAGTGTAGAGATTGGGCGGGCTAGCCCTGCCTCTCTGGCCACACCTGCTCATGGATTTTTCCATTTTTTTTCTCTTTATGGATATCTTTGTAAAAGAGAAGCAATAAAGTGTAGGATTCACAAGCATTATCAACAATTCCCAGAGCCTACATTAAATAGATTAACTACCTGTGTTCTCCATTTTCTGCCACATGTCACCAAATTTCCTGTCATTTGCACTCACAGTTTTGCATCATGTCTTTATTCGGATTGATTAAAAAATAAGTATGTTGTAGGCTGAATTATGTCCCCTACAAGATTCATATGTTGAAGTCCTAACCTACAGTATCTCCTAATATGACAGTACTTGGAAATAGGGTCATTACAGACGTAATTAATTAAAATGAGGTCATAAGGACAGCCCTAATCTGACATGACTAGTGTCCTTATAAGAAAAGGGTATTAGGATAGGGTGGTGATGCATGCCTGCAATCCCAGCACTTAAGAAGTCAAGGTAGAAAGATCTTGAGTTCAAGACCAATCTGGGCTACATAAGTGAGACCCTGTTTCAAAAAGACAGGAAAAAGAGAGAAAAAGAGCATTAGAACACAAACACATGGAGGAGAGAGGCCATGTGAAGGCAAAGAGAGAAGGTGTTTTCTGTATGCTAAGGAGAAAGAAGTCAGAATGAAACCAACACCATGATCTGGATTGTAGACTCCAGAACTGTGAGAAAATAGATTTCTGTTGTCTACGCCACCCAGTCTGTGGTACTTTGTGATAGTGGCCCAAGCAAACTAACACAGCAACCCATACGGTTACTGAGAGTCCTCATGTTCAGGAAAGCAAGCTAAACCACTGGATCAGGCAAACCAGCACACCAAGACATTTTTTTTTAAAACAGGGAGAGAGACATCTGGCATCACATGGCAGCCTGATGAAACAGTGTCGAGGTTCAGCATTGTAGCCTCCTGCTGTACCTTTGACACATGGGCAGTCATCTGTTTTCCTTCATGTTCAGGTGTGAGCACAAACCCTTTGAGTCCAATGCCAAGGGTCCCTTAGAAACACCCCAGTTTCTCAGCTCATTCATTGTCTCTATTTTGATTTCCTTTCCCAACAAAGAGCTAAATCAACTAGATGATGATATAAATGCTAGTGTTTTATATAATCTCATGATGCTTTCTTTCTTCATTTCTTTCAAATGAATGCACATATAAGGAAAGGTTTTGTTTTCGTGCTAGTTTTACCTACTAAGTCAGTGCAGAATGGAGCATTGGGATGTATGTGGCACGAACTGGCCACTCAAGTCTGTGCCATAAATATGGACTTCTCTGCTCTCGGTCTCATCAGAGCACAGGTTATTAAGGAATCATTACATCAAGCTGAAGATTTTTCCTAAAAGACACAGGTAAAGCATGTTCTCTATGCTTTGTACTTTAAAAATAAGCAGATTAATGGATAAGTATCAGCAACATTGCTTGATGGTTTTTTCCTCCAATTTTAGCATAACTAGAAGAAAATTATTTTACAAATATCCAATCTAGAAGGAATTTCTCTGAGATCATCTATAAGATTTCATTTCCATCAGAAGTAAGAGTATGAGGACAGAGAGAGAAGTCACTTCGAAGAAACAAATCCAGGACATGAATGTCACTATGATTCAATATTTCCTTTACCAATTGGGGGAATTTAATGTTTTTCTACTATAAGTTCTGCCATCTATTTATCAGGCCATGACCTCCTGTCTTATTTAGACTTAATTTCTCATGGGCCGCGGTAGAAGAAATTGTATTTTTCTCACAAACTGGTCATTTTCATTGTCTTAGTCATTACAGGTTTTAAGTTGATTCAGTCTGAATAAACAGCCCTAAATGATAGAGAAACCTAAGAAGATATTTCTAACTGCGATGTTTCTCTGAGCAACAGCACAAATACCAACAAAGCTTTGGTCTCTCTTTAAAATCTGAGGTTTGCATTAACCACTTCTAAACAGAAAAGAATTTTCGGTAAGAACCAAGCCCAAAAAAAAGATAAAAGAAAAAAAATACAGTCAAATTTACCTCGGTTAAAAAATGGCATCTCCCAGGGTTAAAATAATTATTCAAACTCAGGATTGATGTAGGGACTTGGGGGTAGACAAATATTCTAGAATTCCAAATGCCTTCTTCATGCAGCAAACACATGGATCATTTTCCTTATTCTTTTAAATAGATAAGCCACCCCTTCTTCCAAACTAAAACAGCATACTTCAATCACTCTAAGAGTTTGCAAGGCTGCACCTGACTCAGAGTTTAATTTTCCTTGGTACCAAACTCAAGTTCAGTTACTCCAAATACCTTTTTTGCCTCCTTTCCCACAAGATGATTCATTTGGTACCTTAAATTGAACCCAGTCATTTGTACCAACTCTGGGGCTTGCAAAGATCACAGGGGAACAAGATTCCTGGTCTTACCTTGAACAGAAGATCCCAAAATCAGGATGAGAGCAAGAGCCAGGACAAGCTTACTACACTTGAGTGTCTTCTGCATCATGACCAGCTCTCTCCAGCACGCTAGCCTCACGATTAGGAAATGTAGCGGGGTGCTCTCTGTCCCTTTTAGAAAAGTTTCCAAAACCTCAAAGCCTGCCCAGAACACACGTCACAATTTCCTGAACAAATAGAAAGAGATCCACATCAACACCCAGAAAGAAAGAAAAGGAAAGCAGCAAAAAATAACTCTGCATACCCATTATGAAACTGCCCTGGACTCTCCCCAGGCCTGCTTTTGCAAAAGTTTTGTTGTTTTGCCACTTACTTGTTAGGAAAAAACAAATTTCCCATGAAAATAGTAGAATCAGCATTCAGAACAATTTGTTTTTCCTTTCTTCAGGTAACAATCTAAACATGAGGAAGACTGAGCTGCCTTTCATCACGGAGCACCTTCAACACAAAACCTTCTCGATTTTCTTTTCCATCAGTGAGTACCACAAATCCCTGAGCCAAACTCAAAACGTGAAACTTGCACGCTGTGCTCTCATCTACTAGTATGAGTTGTTTGATTTCCCATAAACAGTTTCTTCTCAGACTCAACGTTTTCATTGGATCCCTCTACCTCAAAAACAATAGTGAGGGGTTTTGGTTACAAAAACCCTGCTAAGACAGAAAAAATATTTTGCATTCTTCTGCTACTTTATTTACACCAACTATTTCTTATAATTTGATTCCACGCATCCTTTTATCTTTTCTCCTGGTTAAAAAAAAAATCAACTTGTTTTGGGGTCTTCTGGCCTTGAATAAGGAACAACTTAGAAGCAAGGGCAGGTTTTCCTCCCAGAAGGCTGTTTGATGTGAAAACACACAAACCACTGCCCTCTGTACATACAGGAACAGCATTTTCCCATAGTCCTGGGAAGGCCTACAGGTTTCTGGAGGATGGAGGCTCCATATTGCAGTCACACGATAAACACAGCAGCCTATGACATGTCCTCACCCTGGGGGAGCACTCTTTCCCTTACTTCCTTTGAAGATGTGACCACTGTCCATCTCAGCACGCTGTGTCTGCAGTCCCAGACACTGCAATGCCCTTGTCCACTTTCCACTGAGGCTGCCTCTTGCCTGTCCTATGACAAGAGGGAGGAGTTTCCCTTCCCTTGTTCTGGGCTTCCTGCTGATTCCTTACCATTTCCTGCTAAGGGTGGGGCCTCAGAATCTAATCACTGAAGAGTAGCTGGGCTGCAAGAACAAAGGAGTGCACACTCAGAACCAGCCGCAATGGGTCCTGCAACCAACTTCCAAACTCACAGAGCCACTGAGCTCCCCACTGTGGAATATTGGTTTCCACTTGAAATTTCCTCCGTCTTTGGTCCTCTTCATGCTAACCCCCAATTTAAAACCCTGGCACCCATGAAGAAGAACGAAATGTTATCATTCGCAAGGTAAAAGGATGGAACTGGAGAACATTATTCTGAGTGAGGTTAGCCTGGCCCAAAAGACCAAAAATCGTATGTTCTCCCTCATATGCGGACATTAGATCAAGGGCAAACACAACAATGGGATTGGACTTTGAGCACATGATAAAAGCAAGAGCACACAAGGGAGGTATGAGGATAGGTAAGACACCTCAAAAACTAGATAGCATTTGTTGCCCTCAACACGGAGAAACTAATGCAGATACTTTAAAGCAACAGAGGCCAATAGGAGAAGGGGACCAGGAGCTAGAGAAAAGAAAGGTTAGTTTGAGAAGAATTAATTTAGAAGGTAACACACATGGACAGGAGGATTGAGGTTCAAAGCCAGCGTGGGCAAAAAACCATGAGATCTTACCTAGAAAATAATTAAAAAGCAAAAAAGGGCTAGGGGGTGTCACTCAAGTGGGAGAGCGCCTTCCTAGCAAACACAAGGGCCTGAGTTCAAACCTCAGTATGGCAAAAAAAAATTTTTTAATTAAAGAAAAATACATGATTACTATGGAAAGGTCAGCTGTTGGGACTTTTAAGGAAGACCTGAAGAGAAAGGATGCGTGCCTTGTCATCCCCCACCCAGAGTCATAGCAGCCAGGCCCTGCCTTTGGCAACTCAAAGTGGCACACACCGCTCTCTAACACCGCTCTCTTCATCTCCCTTAATTGCCTTCATTTTATACACTGTTCTCTGGTACTAGGTGGCCCCCCACTCATGTCCCTGTAACTAACTTGGTCATTGATTCTAGCCAATCCTGTGACACAGTCATCAAGACCACCACCTCAAGGCCTTCCACTCCCTCTGGAATAATCTGTCCAAGTCCCCAAACTCAGCAGCAGTATTTCCTAGGCTTCACAACCCAATCTCATTCCTGCTTTCTTGTCCCCAGAACACACATCCCAAAATTACACCCATACCTACCATTATTTTCAAGGGTCTCAGTTACGAAGGAAGAGGGAAGAGCTTGCCCTTTAATGTGTAACCACAGAGCATCAACCAGATCTTCAATGGCCTTTTCAGTTCAATCTCAAGGGGCTGAGCACATTGACCAATTAAATTACTACCCTTTAGTTGGTTTTTATGACCAGACTCTTTTTTTTTTTTTTTTTTTTGAGACAGGGTCTTACCAGGAACTCTAGATCCTTCTGCCTCAGTCTCAGGAGTGCTGGGATTATAGAATGTACCACCATGTCCAGCTCATGGTGGATAAAAATATATAACTACCCTGCACCCAAAAGCCCAGCATCTGGTACTGGACTGTGTTGCTCCCTTTCTGACTTAATAAAATGTACTTTGAGGCCATTTATTTGATCATATCCCCAAATAGACTGAATTTTCAGATTACTTTAGCATACTTCTGTAATTCCCCTCAAGGCACTGAATAAATTAACAAGTTCTATATTTGAATATTTTATGCATGTTCTAGTGTTGGCTTCACGCCAATTTTATACCAAGGATATAGTTTGACTGATAGAAACAATAAGGAGTTCAAATAACTTTGATTGCAAAACAGTTAGCAGTGATGTTTTCTAGACAGGAGGATAACAAATGTTTCCTTTTCATCCTTTCTTGACTATTACAAATTTTATACAACAGAATTATGTGTCACATAAGTAACCAGGAAAAAAAACACTCAATAAAATTATTTTGATGGTTTACAACATTTTGACTTTCAAAAATCCATGAATAGAGCATCAACTTTGGATAAACTCCCTTGAATCCACATTCAGAGATGGACTACATAGTGAATTCCAGACAAGCCTAGACTGTGAGCTTGGGCTGCATAGGGAGATACTGCCTTAAACAAAAAAATAATGATATGCCTTGGGCCTGTGGATGTAGCTCAATGGTAGAGCACTTACCTAGCCACAGAATACCCTGGGTTCAATTCCCAGCACCAGGGAGAAAAAAAAGAAGTAATTTTCCTCAAGACAATGTAGCTGGTAATAAGCTAGTACTCTGTTGTCAGGAAGTCAAGAAGACTGAAGGGAAAGAAGGGCATTGGGGGTTAAACAGATAGCTCGAATCTCAGCACAGATGAAATAAGTTTCTTTTTTGATTTTAGAGCACTCACAGATTAATACTATTAGCTTATGGCACTGAAACTTGGAAAGAGACCTCCTTCAAACAAACTTATAAGAGTGGACTGAAGGAAAGATGTGCAAATTAATCCTAAGACAACAAAAAGAGGTGGGGAGGGAGAGGGAAGAAGGGTCCTGTCCTCAAAACCAAGCTAGGCTTCCCCAAGGCATGCTCTACTCAACAAGCCTTAAATAGGCTCAAAGAGCAGTTCTCTAGGGGTTCAGGATGGATGGAGCTTTTTAGCTTGATGGGTGGCCAGGAGAAGTCTGAGGTTTTCTCCTTCTAAGGACAGCCACATAGCTTTCAGACTCAGATTCCTTCACCTGGAAAAATACAGTCCCATGTGCCCAGAGTGCTAGTCTAGTCTCCCCTTCAGAACTGCTGCCTTTGGCTAAGGAGGTTCCCATGAGAACCAAGTGGCTTGGGCTAAAAAGCTCATTAAAGTCCCAGGCCTGAGAAGCCACTCGGGACTTTCCTATCAAGGCTGGCTCTGAAGCAATGCCAGCATTCATTTTCCAAACCGAATCCAAAAGACATTCAATTCCCATCCTAATCCTACCTCAACTACCTTCACCTCAGCTGATATTCAATGAAGCTATGACCCCAACATTTGTACCTCTTTAAAAAAAATTTTATTTACTTATTTTTATTGTTGTTTTTTTTTGAGACAGGGTCTGAATATGTAGCCCAGGATGTCCCGGAACTCTTAATACTCCTGCCTCAGCTTCTTGAGGTCTGGGATTATAGAAATGTATCACCATGCCTGGCTTCTTTTTTTAATTAGTTAATTTAGGCTGTACTGAAGGTTGAACTCAGGGCCAAGAGCTAGTCCAGCTCTTTACCACTTGAGCTATGCTTCTAGTCCTTTTCATCTTAGTGATTTTTTTTTTCAGATAGGGTCTTCAGCTTTTGCCCTGGCCTACTTTGAGCCATGATCCTCCTCCCCTGCCTCTCTAGTAGCTAGGATTTCAGGTGTGTACCACCATTACCACCCTCTTTTTAACTAACAAAAATTGTATACATTTATCATGTACGACATTATGTTCTAAAATATGTCTGCATTGTAGAATGACTAACTTGAGCTAATTAGCATGCATTGTTTCACATACTTATCAGCTTTTTAGGTGAGAACATTTAAAATCTACCCTTACCAAATTTCAAGAACAGGTGGAATCTAGACCAAAGAATGACATGAATGCGAAATGGGGACTGTTAGGGAAGGAGTGAGTGGAGGAAGAGGGTGGGAAGGCAAAAGGAGAGGGTGATGAGGGGGTGATTATGCTAAAAGTACTTTATATATATGTATGAAAATAGAGTGATGACACTCTTTAAAAATGGTTAAGGCTGGAGGCATAGTTCAAGTGGTAGAGCGTCTGCCCAGCAAGCATGAAATTCTGAGTTCAAATTCCAGAAATGCCAAAAAATAAAAAAGAGCCAGGCACAATGGCCTTAGACAAATAGTTCTAAGACCTTGTCTCAAAAAAAAGAAAAAAAAAAACATCACTTGAGGCCTGTCAGAGTTACTCAAGTGGTAGAGTACCTGCCTAGCAAGCATGAGGCCCT